ACAAAAAGTTGGTTCTTTGAAAAGATAAAAAGTTGATAGACTACTAGCTAAATTAATTAAGAAATGAAGAGACAAGACTCAAATTAGCTCAATCAGAAATGAAAAATGAACCATTGCAACTTATATGATGGAAATTCAAAAAGTCATCTGAGACTATTATAAACACCTCTATGAAAACAAACTAGACAATCTAGAAGAAATGTATAAATTCTTGGAGATTTCCAACCCCCCAACTTTGAATCAGAAAAAAATAGAAACCCTGAACAGACCAGTAACAAGTAGTGAGATTGAAACAGTAATTAGAAGTCTCTCAAAAAAAAAAAAAAAGACCAGGGTTCAATGGACTCACAGCTGAATTCTACCAGTCCTTCAAGGAAAAACTGTTACCAATTTTTCTGAAGCTGTTCCACAAGATTGAAAAGAAAGGAATCCTCCCTAACTAATTCTACAAGGCCAGTATCACTGTGATACCAAAGCCAGGAAAAGACACAACAAAAGAAAACTATAGGCCAATATGCCTTATGTACATAGACACAAAAATCTTCAAAAAAATTTTAGCAAACTGAATTCAACAGTACATTAAAAAAAAAAAGATACCCCATGACCAAGTGAGTTTTATTCCAGGGATGCAAGGGTAGTTCAGCAAATGCAAGTCAATAAATGTGATCCACTACATAAGCAAGGTTTTAAACAAATCATAGGGGCTGGGCTCAGTGGCTCAGCCTGTAATTCTGCACTTTGGGAGGCCGAGGTGAGTGGATTGCCTGAGCCCACGGGTTTGAGATCCACCTGGGCAACTTGGCGAGACCTCATCTCTACAATAAATCAAAAAATTAGCTAGGCGTGTTAGTATGCGCTTGTATTTCCAGCTACTTGGAAGGCTGAGGTGGAAGGATCACCGCAGCCCAGCAGGTCGAGGCTGCGGTGGCCAGGAATGGCCACTGCACTCCAGTCTGGGCGACAGTGAAACTCTAACTCAAAAAAAAAAAAAAATCATATGATCATTTCAATAGGTGCAGAAAAAACATTTGATAAAATTTAGCATCGCTTCATGATAAAAAACACTCAGCAAAATAGGCATAGATGGAACATTCCTCAAAATATCAAAAGTTATATATGACAAACATACAACCAATGTCATCCTGAATGGAGAAAAGTTGAACACATTATTCCTCAGAACTGGAATAAGGCAAGGCTGCTCACTTTCACCATTCCTGTTCAACATAGTCCTGGAAGTCCTGGCCAGAGCAATCAGGCAAGTGAAAGAAATAAAGCGTATCCAAATTGGAAAAGAAGAAACCAAACTATCTCTGTATGCCACCAATATGATGTTTTATCTAGAGAACACTAAAGACTTCTCCAAAAGAATCCTGAACTTGATAAATGTATTTGGTAAAGTTTCAGGATACAAAGTCAACACACACAAATCAGTAGCACTGTTATACACCAATAGTGATCAAGCTGAGAATCGAATCAAGAACTCAATTCCATTTACAATGGAAGCCAAAAGGCTAAAATACCTATGAATGTATTTAACCAAGGAGGTGAAAGATCTTTACAAGAGCTACAAAACTGATGAAAGAAATTGCAGAGAACACAAACAAATGGAGAAACAACCTATGCTCATGAACTGGAAGAATCAATATTATTACAATGACCAGCATAACCCAAAGTAATCTACATAGTCAGTGCAATTCCTATCAAACTACTAATATTGGTTTTCACAGAATTAGAAAAAACAATTCTAAAATTCATATGCAACAAAAAAGAACCAGAATAGTCAAAGCAATCCTGAGCAAAAAGAACAAAGCTGGAGACATCACATTACCTGACTTCAAATTATACTACAAGTACGTAGTAACCAAAACAGCATGTAACTGTTACAAGAGCAGACACATGGACCAATGGAACAGAATAGAGAATCCAGAAATACACTAAAATATCTACAACCAACTGATTTTTGACAAAGCAAACAAAAACATACACTAGAAAAAAGGCACCTTATTCACAAATGGTATTGAGAAAATTGGATCGCTACATGCAGAAAAATGAAACTGTATCCCTATCCCTCCCTATATAAAAAAAGTAAATGAAGATGGATAAAGACTCAAATGTCACAACTGAAGCCATGAAAATCCTAGAAGAAGACCTAGGAAAAAATCTTCTGGACATTGCCTAGGCAAATACTTTATGGTTAAAACCTCAAAAGCAAGTGCAACTATGCAAAAATAAGTAAGTAGGACTTAATTGAACTAAAAAGCTTCTGCACAGCAAAGGAAATAATCAGCAGAGCAAAAAGGCAACCAACAAAATGGGAGAAGATTTTCTCAAACTGTACAAACTATACTGTCTAACAAAGGACTCATTTCTTGAATCTGCAAATAATTCAAACAAATCAGCAAGTAAAATGAAAAAAACCTCATTAAAAAGTGAGCAAATAACATGAACAAATATTTCTCAAAAGAAAATATACAAATGGTCAAAAAACATATAAAAAATGTTCAACATCACTCATCATCAGGGAAATGCAAATTAAAACCACAGTGAGATACCACTTTACACCCTACAGTCAGAATGACCATTATTAAAAAAATTAAAAATCAATAGTTGTACCATGGAGGTGAAGAAAAGGGAACATTTATACATTGTTAGCGGGAGTGTAAATTAGTACAGCTTCTTGGGGAAGTGGTATGGAGATTATTCAAAAACTAAAAGTAGATCTACCATTTGATCCTGCAAGCCCACTACTGGATCTCTACCCTAAGGGACAGAAGTCATTATATAAAAAAGATACCTGCACCTGAATGTTCATAGCAGCACAATTCCTAATTGCAAAGATGTGGAATCAATCTAAATGTCCATCAACCAATCAGTGACTTAGAAACAGAAAACCAAACACTGCATATTGTCACTCATACATGGAAGCTAAATGGTCACAAAGTTGGAAATAATAGACACTGGGGACATCAATAAGGGGGGAGGGGAGTTAGGGTTCAGAAACCACCTACAGGGCACAATATTCACTACCTGAGGAATGGGCCATCTGAGACCCAATCCCCACCACTACACATTATGTCCATGTAATGATTATGCACGTGGAGCCCCTGATTCTAAATTTTTTTGTAAATTTAAAAAAAAAAACAGTTTCTGGACTCCCCAAGACACAGAATGACTTGGGTCGTGTTCAGCTCAAAGTAACAGAAATCGACATCAAAGGGGCCGAAAGTACAAAACTGTTTACTTTTGCACATTATGGGAGTCCAGCCATGGTAGCTCTAGCTGTAAGATTAGTGAGATCAGGCAGGCTCGTGGGGACAGGTAGTCCTGGATACAGCTTTGTGGGATAGATACTGGGTTCTTCAGATTCCAAGAAAACAAGCTGGGGGATCTCAAGTGGAGATGAACAGCTGTAATGGAAGCTCCTGCCTGTTGCTAAGATTCTAGAAAACAGATTCTATTCATGGAAAAGGGACTAGAAAAACTCCACATGATACTTGGAAGGCTAAGGCAGAAGGATCGCCTCAGCCCAGCAGGTCGAGGCTGTGGTGGCCATGCACTCCAACCTGGATGACAAAGAGTGAGACCCCACCTCAAAAAAAAAAAAAAGAAAAGGCAATTTTCTGGTAGAGGTACACGATGGTACCACCACTTTGGAAATCAGCCATGAAGTTTCTTTTAAAGATAATTATATGTTACTTTATAATCCAGCAGTCCTACTCCTAGGTATTTGCCCAAATGAAATAAAAATTTATTCACTCAAAAACCTATATATGGTTGTTTATATCAACCTTATTCATAATTACTTTTATGTTATTCACCATACATAATGAATTTACAGAAACTGTAAAAAAAAAAAAAGTCCTTCAACTGGTGAATGCATAAGCAGTCTGTGGTACATCCTTACTGTGAAGTATTACTCAACAACAAAAAGAAAAAAAATGCTAACATGTACAAAAACACAAATGCGGTTCAAAAGCATGTTGCTAAGTGAAAGAAGGACGCAAAAGTCTACATGTGTTTTGACTCTATTTATTTGTCATTCTGGAAATGGCAAAACTATTAGGCACAGAGAGTAGACCAGTGATTACCAAGGGCTGGGAGTTGGGGAAGATTTGACTACAAAGGAGTACTAGGGCATGTTTTGAATTGGTGGAACTATTCTGTGTCTCAGTCATGGCACTGATTACATGAATATGCACTAAATATCTTAAAAAGTGAATTTATTTTTATGTGATTCATACCTCAATGAAAAGAAAACTCGATGTGGGGGTGGGGAACCAAAGGACAAAAAGTGGGTTTATTCAGATTAAACCCATTATATTTTTGAGAGCAGGGCACAGTTCCTAGATGAGGCTGGGTCCAATTTCCACAGCGTGGGAGGATGCTTAAGTGTAGAGGTAATGTCCGACATATCTCCCCATGGGCCCATAGTACTTCCATACGCAACTTGAGAATTCTCAGAGTAGCTCTGCCAAATGGTACACTCATGCTTGTACTTAAAAGTTAAAAAATGTTGGACTAAGAACTTACAAGAAACCAGACATTCAGGCTTACAGAAATCTAGATGACTCTATCTCTTCAGCCTATTATTTTGGTATTCTAAAATCCCTGTCTGGATATTTGTGTGGTCCTAGAAAGCTGGTTTGGAGAGCAAATGCAGGGGTTTGCTAGTGGGAGTGAGGTGGGACCAAAAGGGGTGAGGGACAAAGATGCTGCCCATCAGTCCTTTTCAAGTGAATGTCTCCTGAAAGGGGTGAAGTAGTCGTAGTCTGTAACCTATCTGCAAAGTTGTTCATTCTCCAGGGAGTTTCTTTGACTTACATGTTCTTTGCCTATTCTTAGAATTCCACCTTAAAACAAGCCGAATGTCCTTGCAGCCAGTATCTCAGCACGGAAAAGTTTTGCTTGAACGATGACACACTGCAGTTGGATCCTTCTCACCCACATCTGGAAGCCACATGTCAGCGGCAGCTGTATAAAACAGCTCAGCAAACCCAGAGTGACATTTTTTGCCAAAAGTCCAGGGAGCATGGACCTCAGTCTTCTGTGGGTGCTTCTGTCACTGGTCACTGTGGCCTGGGGCCAGTATGGTGACTATGGGTACCCGTACCAGCAATACCACGACTACGGTGATGATGGGTGGGTGAATCTGAACCGGCAAGGCTTCAGCTACCAGTGTCCCCATGGGCAGGTGGTGGTGGCCGTGAGGAGCATCTTCAGCAAGAAGGAAGGTTCTGACAGACAGTGGAACTACGCCTGCATGCCCACGCCCCAGAGCCTCGGGGAACCCACGGAGTGCTGGTGGGAGGAGATCAACAGGGCTGGCATGGAATGGTAAGGGACAGTCACTGCACTTGGGCTGGGGACATCTGCATATCCCTCCTGCTGGAGGTTGCTTGACTTTCAAAGAATATCAGCATCTAAACCTATGCCCTGACCCTTACCAACGCATGCTCTGGTTGGGGGTGGTGGTGGGGGGGGAGGGGCAGAGCTGTGGACTGCATTATAGGACAAAACCTAGGATGGGGAGTGTCCATAGGAGTTAGCCTCCTTTATGGTTCTGTTCCTTCCAGAAGCAGCCCTACTCTCTCTTTGGTCCAGGGGCTGTTGTGGGTCTGCAAAAAGCTTCCCAGACTTCAAAAAGATAAGCATGGAAATTGAAAGTAAGAAACTTTATAGCAACTGAACATTGCTCTACCATTTGGATAGCAGTTTCATTTCGCAGCGATTTATTTTTTACCATTTTACAAAAGTATTGGTCCACAATAGTTTGGGGGAAAACAATCAGTTGGCCCCTCAGCACAGACAGTTTCAGAAATATTGATTTAGAGCAAGTGCATGAGGGAGAGGGATAAAGACAAGAAAGCAAGGGAAGTAAACAGGTCTCTGCTGCCCTGAGAAAATATGCCCTCTCAATTATTCTTTCTGCCTGAATTTAAAGTGCATTTCGTTGCTGGAAAATAATTTACTAAGGGTTTTGAAGAGAGGTGCTGTCCTCCCCTGACTGCTCTCCGCCCTAGTCAATGACATGGAACTAGTTTGAGCTTGTACTTCTCTGTGGGGTGTGACTGTCCCAAGGGTAGCCAATGACTACCAGGCGGGTTTTTCACAGCTTATGGAGCCAGGACTGTAGGGATCTTGTGGGAGAGGGTGGAGGCCAGACCAACCATGGGGGAGGCAGACTGGGGGGAGATTCAGCAGCGAGCACTTAGTGTAGTAGGGCTGGAATAGCCAAGCATAAAACCCTAAGGGTCACATGACCAGCAGACAGACAGTGATGAGAAATCAAAGAAGGAGAACACTGATGGGCGGAGGAGCCAGACCAGAGAGGGGTCTCTAAGTAGAAAAACAGCTGCCACTTATTGAGTGTGCACCCTGAGCAAGTTCCATGCTCAGAGCTTTATGTGGATTATCTCACGTAATGCTTAAAACAGATTCACACATCGTTTATACATAGTCAAGCCGTGGGTCAGTAGTTTCCTCACCTGGAAAACTGGGATTTGGTTCCATAGAGTCTTCACTCTAAGAGCGTGTGCTTAGCCACAGAGATGGTCCCCTGAGAGCTGGCTGCCTCCTCCCATCGTGGGCTCCCACCCAACATTTCTCTGCCAGCAGATCCAGGGCACAGGACCAGCCTCAGGTGGTTCTTCATCCTGGAGTGGGCTGGTGTCTGCAGATCACAGCAGAAGCCCAGCCCTGGAGGACAGGGACCAGCTTGGCTGCCATGACTGAGGAGGGGCCTACCAGCCTGTTGAGGGGTTGGGGAGAGGAGGCACACAGGCAGCTGCAGGTAGGGGAACCAGGGCTGCAGAGGCTACTTGGACAGCCTTTGGTGGGCTGTCTTCATCCACTCCGCAGCCTCTGGTGAGCAGATTTAATCATCCAAAACCTCTTCTGACAGAGGCAGACTCAGAGACCAGGCTCACCTTGAGGGCAGTCTCCAGTGACTCCCGCAGCCAGACCCACTGCCTGGCATGGAGCATGGAAATGACCTAGTTACAACTGCCCCTTTAGTCCTTCCATCTCAGGGCCACCATCACCCCCTTTCCAAAGTCACAGTCAAACAGCACTTAGTCACAATTCCTCAAGACCTAGAGGAAGAACCCAGAGCTCTGAGTCACAAGCCTGAGTTCGGAGCCACAAGTTCTAATGACAACGTGTGGTGTGACCTTGGCCCAGGCATCCAGCCCTCTAGGCTCCCACCTCATCTGGAAAACAAGCAGTCAGACAGCATGATCACTGAAGGCTCCACAGAGCCACTTCTTGCCCCTAAGAATGTACTTGGCATTTTCCTGCGTTCTGTTGATCTTTGTGCTCCTCCCTGCTAGGGAAAGAAGCCAAATGATGTTTAGTTTCAAACTTGCCATGAACTATTTGAAGAAAAGCAAAAGAGGAAGAAGGTGAAATAGCATGATTTTGTTTGACCCACGGAAGTCAAGTGAAAACCCAACAGGCAAGATATTTCTTCTGCCTCCTCTTTCTCTGCATTTTGGGGTGTGCAGGGTTCAGGGCATTTTTTTTTTCCTTTCCTCCCTCCTCTCTCCATTGCCTCCTTCTCATGCCACTAATCACAGGAGTGAGAACTCACTCTTTATAGTAAGATTCAGCTGTCCCAGGTCTGACACCAAATACCCAAGAGGCATTTTTTAAGTGATTGTGACTTTGAGTTTAGACTCCAGTCTCAGGGAAAAAATCTGGAAGGAAAGAAATTACTCACAGGCTGGGGAGCAATTACATCTTCCTGTTGGCTGCAGTCTCTTAGTCTGTTCTGGGAGAAGAGTTGTTGAGGGTTTTGTGCAATTTGGCTGCCTTGTATAACTACATTTGCTTTCAGGTTTATTTTTAAAAAGGGGAGGAGTCTCAGACACAGATTAGACAACAGTACATAGGATCTACTAAAGAAACCTGATAATTGGAGCACGGTCTTTAAAAGGTGCTGCCGTCATAGCAGAGTGGCTTGCAGTACTGCGGTTTACACTGGTAACTGCTGAAAACCTCCTCTGCAGGTGCAGGGTTCTGGAGTGTGGGTGTTGGCTTCTGCCACTAGTGACCACCAGGAGGCTTTTCCTGGGTCCCCATGAGTGGTGTTTCGCCACCTCAGGGCACGCCTGGGTTGTTGTCAGGGAATTTGTCCTGCCTTGGTTTGCCCCAGGCTGTAGAACATTGGACCTTGTGTGGAGCAAGACGTAGCTGGAATTTTCTAGTGAGGCTGGGCTGTCATGTGGAGAAAGAGCTCTGAGTTTGGAATCAGGAAACCCCACTTGCAACTCCTGCTTGTGCCATCTCTTAGCTCTGTGACATTCGGTTCCTCATCCTGGCAGACATAGAGGCAGGAAATAAAATAAAAGAAAGTTGTGGCACCTACCTCACAAGCTGCTAGGAGAAAGTAGTAGAGAGCTCTAATGAAAATCTAAATTTAAATCAAATGCCTGGCACATCACAGACAGTCAATAAAGGTTTGGTGAATCTGGAACTGATGTGGCTTGCATCAGGCAAGACTGCCTCACAGAGTTTGGATTCAGAGAAAGAGGGCTCTGTTTATTGCCACCTGCTTTACACTAGGCTTCAGAAAATACCAAGGAGACATTAAAGTGGCAGTGTGCATTAGAGCTGAATTTATGAATCTGCCAACGCCAAGCCACACAAGGGAGAAGAGGAGAAAGGAAAATCGTGCCACAGTTTTAGCATCCAGGTAAATTTGAGCTGGATAGGTTCGGCAGGATCTCCATTTTCCACAATCTGACTATTTCCCTTATTTGGCCAAGACCACCCTGCTTCCTGCTTCTGAGTTCTTAGCACACAGCGCCTGTCTCCTCCAGAAAGCTTCCCATGACCAACCCCTCTCCACCCACATCTCCGCTCCCCACTCCCTCAACCTGCTGTTTCCTACAGTGCACGTGTCACTGCCTGATTTGTATTTGTCTATTGTTTGTCTCCTTCACCAAAATACAAGCCTCATCAACTCAGGGGGCTTTGCATCCCTCTACCTAGAAAAGTGCTGTGTATAGTAGGCCCCCAGCAAAAATGCAGTGAAAGACCAAAGCAGACAAGTTAGTGCTCCCAGCAGTCCATTTCCCAGCCAGTGTTCCTAGCACCCTCAACAGAGATACCCACAGATCTTCCCAGGGGAAACCATTTTGCTTATGTCTTTGATTATCAGTATTCCAGTGTCTATAACAGGGAGTTCCGCTTTATTGTTTATATCTCATTTTGTTACCAACATGCAGGATGTCTTTTGAGCTTTCCCCAGGGATCTCTAAAGCATGCACAGAAGATGGTTGATTATGCTATCACAGAATGGAGTCTTTATTGCATTTCTATTCTCTCAATAATCTTAATTTAGCAATACCTTTTAAAAATTGAATAGTAAACTCTTTATTTCAAAAACCATAAGGGTATAATGCTACATAGTAGCCTGTCCTGGTTTGGATCCTGGAATAGAGAAAGGACATTTGTGGAAAAACTGGTAAAATCCAAATAAAGTCTGGAGTTGGGTGTTGTACCCATGTTCATTTCTTAGTGTTCATAAACACACCAGAGTTGTGAAAGATTACGTGAAGGGAAGCTGGGTGAAGGGTATACATAAGTTTTATGAATGATCCTTACAGCTCTTCTGTAAACCTAAAATTACTTCAAAATAAAAAGGTTTAAAAATAAAGATGAGAACAAACGAGCATAACAGAATTCAAGAATCCCAGTGCTGGAAGGAGGCTCAGGTATGATCAGAGCAACCTCCATACATCGTAGATTAGAAATTAAGACCCAGAGAGTGGAGCAATTTAAAAATGAATGAAAACATTATAAGAGTATAAATTCTTATACCCTTAACCCTAATTTATGTGGTGATCTGTAGTTTATAAAGTATTCCTCATTCATACATTTATTTGCTCACTCATTTACTATCAAATGCTTATCATCACAAACTTTGCCAGACTCCAGAATATGGAGATGAATACCATACAGTCTACACCCTGAGTTACTCAAAGGTTAATCGTGTTTGATCTTTGCAACAATACTGGAAGGCAGGTGTTAACTATTATCTCTGCCTTACACATGAGGAGATCTGCCTGCACGTCTCCAGTGGACAGCGAGAGAGAACCCAGCCAGCTAGTTCGATGCACACCAGCAACATGAGATGTCCGTGTTATTTTTGTTCTTGGATAAAGCCATACTTAGTGCTGACCTGAAGAAGATATCAAATCTATGTAAGAATGGCTTCTGAGGGCAAGAAGGTTGGGTGTGGGAGAATAGGGTTATGGCAGATCTAGGATTCTTGCCAACTTTCCATCGAAGTTACTCTCCTAAGTGCCGGGAATCAATTGTCTGGGGGAACT